CAGTAACAACTACCTGACAATGGCCTGTTCTCAAGTACTGGCAAGAAATAGCAAGCTCTGATTAGCTGATAGGTTGAAAGATCTCTGCAGACTTTCAGACATAGAAACAATCCTGTGGTTATAGCATCCTCTTGTCCAAATGATTCTGGAAATTATCAAGATGGTCTGCATCGTTCTCAGGTGTGTTTTGAACTGCATTCAGAAGAATTCAGAGACAGGGAAACCTGATCATCTGGAAGTGCTTTTTGGTACCTTAAGGAGCTAGGTTGCAATCCCAGTCAACCGGTGTCAATAACTTGCAATCTTTCGAGTTCTGTGAGTGGTCTTATACTTTTCTTATTAGAGTTCTCAGGCTAGAGAGATAGAGCTGTCACCTTGTGTCATGATTTCCATCTGAGATCAAGAAAACTGGATATGAAGCTGGGGAAAAAACAACCCTCAAAAGAGACAAAAGCCAAGTTCCAAAGAATTGGCTTCCTTCATCTGCAGCTTTTTCTTTCTGATTCATTGGGATGCAGCCTAAAGAAACACTGCTTCCTGGGAGTAGAGGGTCTACCATTCAATTCAAGAGTTTTGCTGCCCTCTTCTGGAGTCTCCCAAATGTTCTTCAAAGACCTCAAACCACAGTAAATCTATCCCAGCCTGAAAAATGAAGCACAATTATATGGGGAGTGCCATCATACCCTCGTCTAATAGGCAATGTGTCATAGTGGGACTTACTTCTGAGTAAAGAGATTTGTGTGTGCATGTGTTTAAATGCCACATTAAATTCATTTCTGAAAAAGTAAATGTGATTATATCCAGTAGCTATATTTTATTCTTTGTTATTGAAACACATAAGTTTTAAGGGTAGTCAAAATATTTTGCTGCCTGAGACAATAAAGAATATTTCATCCCTTTACCCTTGAGCTACATCTCATATACAAAATCCATCAGAATGGGAAATTTATTACTTATTTACTGGTGGCAGTTATACTTCTACAAAAACAACTTCATCAGGCTTTATAAATAATACAACAAATAAAGGAAAAATAATCTCCTCCAAAATAATAACACTTTAGCTAAACATTTATAAGACAAACACTTGAGCAGCAAGGAGAAGAAAACAAAGCCAAAAGCTAAAGTATGACTTCAAAATATCTACACTTTGAACATTAAAATTCTTCCTCAGCGAAGTGCTTATTTCATATCCCCAAAGAAAATGAGGTATGTATGGAGGAGAAAGAGTGGCTTCTAGCTGGATTTTCAGGTAGTTACAGCACATCAATTTGAGACAGCTGATTTTCTCTGGCTGACAGTGGTTTTCCAAAGTGACATGCAGAGGGCCCTTTTTAAATCTTGCTTGCTCCCCACTCCCTCTATAGGTACAAAAATGCTACAGATGGAGCTAGCGAACTTGCCATGTGCAAAGCCTTCTTCTACTGACTAATTATTCTCCTTAACATTGTTTTTATTCCAAATAATGATGCCAAGAATTTGGGCCACCCCGATCTCATGAGATCCGGAGAAGGAGAGGAGAAGATTCAGAGGCCTAATCCTTCTGATGATGATGATGTGCCAGAGGTGTCATGAAGGGCACAAGTGACATCACAAACCATGTGAGGTGTAGCATTGTCACAGGTGAAGGATGGGTTGGCCTGAAGTCAGGGCAGGGTTCCATCAGATTTCCTGGAAATTTAAAGCAATATGAAGTACAATGAGCTGATAACTACTAACAACATGGTATCTGCAGCTACCGGAGCTACAGCCATCTATTTGGTGTCGAAGGCTCTCCTAGCGATTCTAAGAAGCCCCCCCTTCAGCCCTGATTCAATGAACTTAGCCAGTGAGTTAAATGAAATAAGGGCTGAACCTGCTCACAATGTATGTTCTTGCTGTTGCTCTCCTTTTCTTCTCTTCCTTCCGGCCAGGCTTCACGGAGACTGATATCCAGATGAGAAGTCTGACAATCAGAGACTCGTGGACACAGCTCACATAAGATACCTCCATTACAGATACTAGAGAAGCCCTGGTGGAAACCCTAGGGTTGAAGTCCTGTATATTTACATCCAATGTCTCATTTTCCTACCTTTATTCCTGTAATGGACTGACAGCCAATCTTTTCTCATAGTGACAAATGCTTGACTCCTGGATATTGCCATTTCGGTGGACCAACTCATCTCAGCTCGTTGATTTTAATCTTGCCAGTTCTTACCTTCACATCAGCTCTCTAGTTTTTCCTTCCCTAGAATTCTCCAACTTCCTTGAACCCTAAGATGTATCCCCTCTTTTGTCTAGGCATGAGGAACTGATAGGGCCAATGTCTCTTTCCAGCCTTCATCCATATTTTGGCTGGGACTAACAAAGTCTCTTTCCTTCCTGATTTCCTGGAGAAGAAGGGGAACATTTGTCTTCCTAACAGCAGGAAATGGGTAGGGTTTCCTCCAGTCCAAAAGTCTTCTACTCAACTTCAGCCACCAGAGATTTGAGAATAGGAATGTCAATCTCATTGTGACAACAGGAAATAGGTAGGGGAGAACTTCTGCCTCTGATGTATCTTTCTCATCTCTCAGTCTGGAAGTTTCCCTCTAGTTTCAGGTAGGATGGGATGGAGTCTCCGTTTCTCAGTCTCTCAGTAGCAATCCAACCACCTCCCTCAATTTCCAGCCAGTTATCATCATCTGAGTATGAAGAATTATTAGGTACTGGTGCCAAATTATAAGGCCAGTCTAGCAGTTTGGGCTTATGCAGGTAGTGGAAATGTGAAAGTTGATATTCCCATCTGCTGTGGATGTTCTCAACCACTTCTCATGTTTTTGCTGTTTCTGGGTCACCTTTCCAGTGTTGACTATCATTTGCCATCCTGCTTTTAGGCTCTGTGCTTCTGAATTGACAACCTTCCCCTTCCCACTTACCTCTTCTGATTCTTCCTGGAACACTGTGGCTGTTAAGTTTGCTTTACCAGTGATGAGTCATCTTGATTGTTGAACTAAAATAAAATAAGGGGAAAGAAAAAGAGAACTGGGAAATGCAGACAAAGCACTTGCTAACTATTTTATTTGGCCCAGGGTCACTGGGGAAAAGAAGCATGTGGCAGCTGTAGAGCCACGTAAGGCGGAGAAATGGGGGTACAGGACATGCTGACCAGAGCAGGAATGTCAAAAAGTTTAAAGCAATTGTTTGCTATCAAAGAATCATTGTCATTTTATTGTAGCCACATTTTCAAAAAAACACTACATTAATTTATCAGCATCTGCTTTGTAAAGAACCACTGAGTCCAGCTGGGCTGCTGATTATGACATCCATCCAAACATTTCCTTCTTCCATAATGTTTTTTCAACTTCTCCCTTTAACCAATTGTTCTGGATCCAAGTACTAACCAAGACCGACTTTGCTTGATTTTCAAGATCAGCCAAGATTGGCTAGAAGGTATCACCTACTGAGGTGTATAAATAATGACCTGTCTAGTCAAGCATTTTGTCCTAAGAACAACCCAGTATGAAACATACAAGGATACTATATTAGAAAAAGGCACAATTGCAAGTGGGGGGGGTATGGGGGGGCGGGGCAGAAGGGAGATTTGACATCAATGACACAAATGATGCGGAGAGCCTGGAAAGAATGCAAAGAACATAGAAATGATAAGGGGACTAGAGACTAAACCAGGGGTCTCTAACTTCGACAACTTTAAGCCTGGTGGACTTCAACTCCCAGAATCCCCCAGCCAGTGGGATTCTGGGAGTTAAAGTCCTCCAGGCTTAAAGTTGCCAAGGTTGGAGACCCCTGCACTAAACTCTATGATGAACAGTTAAGAGAATGAGGTATGTCTAGTCTAACAAAGAAGGATTAGGGGTGATATGATAGTTGTCTTCTGGTACTTGGGGGCAGTCATAAGGAGGAGGGGGTCAGCTCATTCTCCAAAGCACCCGAGAGCAGGACAACAAGTAATGTAGGGAAGCTAATTGCAGAGAGATCCAATCTGGAGCTAAAGAGAAATTTAGCTGTAATATGCAGCTGTAATATAATACTTCTAACACTATGATCTCAGGTTCTAATACTATAAAATGTTATTATTCTTTTTTTCCCTCTTTTCTTTAATTTTAAAGTCTTCTCCTATGAACCAATGCATTTATTTGCTTATTATATAAGTAAAAAGCTCCAAAAATTTGCAACATGTTCTTACAGAGTTTGATTATTTTAAATGCCCTTTTAAATCTTTTTTGTCCCTATAATATTCCTTTTGAAATGCAAAGATTGGTAATACACCAGTGTATTAGCACTGTAGATTGGCATATAGTAATAATTATGTTGGCAGAGTTTTTAATCATTGTCTTCTTTCCTATTACCTATTTTTTAACATCTTATGATATCACTTTGTTATTTGTCTTATGATTTATGTTGATTGTTTTTATTTAACATCTTATGACTATCACTGAGTGTTGTTTGTTATGATTTGTGATGATTGTATTATGATTATGATCATGATTTATCACTTGTTGCTTGTACGTACACTGAGAGCCTCTTATATGTCTAATCACACTTAGCCAATAAAGAATTTCTATTCTATTCTATTCTATTCTATTCTATTCTATTCTATTCTATTCTATTCTATTCTATTCTA